TGGTCGGCGACTAGCCGGGGTCGTCCTCCCCCGATGGGGGACTAGCACTACCAGCTACCACTAGCCGTCTTCGACATGGTCCCTCGGGTTCCTGCTGCTCCTAATCTCTTCGTACATCCTCCTGCTGAACCTGAGCCCCCTGGCTGTCAGGCTGTCAGGTGCTGTCTCAGGTGATCTGTCGGGCTGTCGGGCAGCTGTCAGGCTGTCACGTTAGGGCCTGACAGCGACGGAGCACCTCGACTGTCAGGATACTCTGCTGTCAGGCTGTCAGATACGTGCTGTGTCAGACTGTCGGAGAAAGTGCTGTCAGGCTGTCAGAAGCGTGCTTAGTCAAACTGTCGGAGAATGTGCTGTCAGCGCTGTCAGCGCTGTCAGGCACTGGTCAGGCGCTGTCCGGGGTTTGCTGTCAGGCTGTCAGACCAGGGCTCAGTGCTGAACTCTGAACCTGGGATCTCACAGGACCACGCTCCACGGTTTCAATGGGCGTTAAGTTTCATTGCGGACATTGCACATTGGGACGCGCAATGTCCCGCATGTATTGTCTCGGCTGAGAAAAACAACAACCTGACCAGGGAATCACGAAAAACGTATCGAGCGATGTCATCCGTGCCCGTCCCAGACGGAGTCGGACTCCCTCTCCCCGACCCTACCGCCATCCGAGTCTTCCCGCTCCTCGCCTCGCACCTCCAGCTCGAGTTGAGCCTCACCCGCCGGAGGAGCCTGCACTGCAGCCAGAGCCGTCGCCTCTCCCTCCCACGCCCCAATTGCTACCTTGCAGAGAGGGCAGGTATCTTCCGTCAGCAGCCATCGGTCGATGCACTCCGTGTGGAAGTAATGGGCGCACGGAGTACGGCGGACTAGCCGAGCCGGCTCCGCCTCGAACTGCGACAGACAGATCGAGCACGCCTCCCCCTTCCCGTGCGGAGCGCCTCCACAGCAGCCCCGGCATGTGCAACCGCCCTCCTCGCAGCTGGCGCAGCTGCAGCGCCGGTACGACTGCTGCGGCATCGCGTCGAGGAGCCGCTCCATCTTCCTCAACTCGCCGTGGTCGCTCGCAGCGGTGCGAGTGGCTGCAGCCCGGATTTGCAGCCGCCGCCGTGCTATCAGGAGCAGCCCGCAGAGGAGCACGAGGCAGCAACTGCTCGCGAAAGAGATTCCCGCGAGGACTATGCCGGACCACTCGCCTTCGGCGTTTGATGGCGGCGGCGGCCACAGCGGCGGGGGATTTGGCGGCGCCGGCGGTGAGAGCTCATACGTGTGATCGTACATCGTGTTTGTCGAGTCTGCAGGCACTCGACGTAGCCGCCGACGCACGGCTCCGCTTGAGTGGGCTCCGCTAACTAACGACCCGGGACCCGACCCCCCACATACCGATGTCAAAAAGAATTTTCCGAACAATGAAGAATTCGCGCCCGCAAACCACCCGGCACATGCACCTGCACACGACTCGCGAGGGGTAGTCGGCGTATCTTGGTAGCCGACGAGGACGCTGCCACCATGCGGCAGAGAGAGGCAAGGCCAAGGGGCGACGAGGCGCGGCGAGGCACAAGGCGAGGCGAGAGACGAGGCGTACAAGGAGAACTAGAGACTCACATACACTTAAACACGGCGAACGTGGAACGTACGGCTCTCACTCCGCCGGCGGCTGCAGCAGCCCGCCCAGATCTCGGATCCACACGTCCGCCAGGCCCTCATGCCGCCCAACCGACGCCTCGGGCCCCACGAGGATGACGGCGGCGAAACCCGCCCGCCGGCCGGCCACCAGGTCGGCCGCGCTGTCGCCGACCATCGCCACGCGAGAAGGCGCCGCGCCGAGGGCGGCGGCGGCCGACAGGACCATCCCCGGCTCCGGCTTGGCGCCATGGCCGCTGTCGCAGCAGCGGACGGCCGAGATGAGCGCCGGCTCGTGCTCGGACCCGAGCCAGCCCAGCGCGCCAAGCTGCTCGCGCGTGCTGCGGTCTTCGTCGTTGGTCGCGACGGCGCACGGGATGTCCGCGTCGCGAAGCGCTCGCAGTAGCTCGGAGGCGTGCGCGGCGGGCGTGACGTGCGCCACCACCTTGGCGGCCGCCGCGTCGAGCAGCGCACGCCCGTCCGTGTGCGGTGTCAGCAACTCGATCAGCTCCGAGTTGCCCATGTGCACGACTGGCGCCTCGGGCAGCGGCTCGCGCAGCGCCATGTCGAAGCCCAGGACGTTGGCGATACGCGCGCGCAGCTGACCGTCTGAGCCCGCGCTCTCGCAGATCGCATCGTAGATGGCCGGGTTCCACGTCGCGGCAAAGTCGAGCAGCGTCCCGTCCTTGTCAAAGACGACGGCATCAAAGGCCGTCGCCAGCGCGCGTGCCGGCATCCCGCCGCGAGCCGTGGCCGAGACGCGTGAGACAAAGTGGTGCATGGTCGTCGCAACCGCCGCGACTTGAGCGCGTTTGGCGGAATGTTTTTTTCTTTTTTCTTTCCCTTGGAATTGATTTTGCTTTGGGACGGGGGCGCTTTTAGTCCCGCCTCTGTGAGGCTGATGACCGGGGGTGAAGTTATCATTCTCCGCTACTCAGCGTATCGCGAGGCTCCCAGATCTGCTCTGCGGGCTGGCCCGGGCGGTGCCGTGGCGGGTCGTCGTGCGCCTCGCACCGCAGCTGCTGCAGCCGGGGCACCACGAAGGCGAGTGTGGAGACCGCCTCCGCTTCGAGCTGCAGCAGCTGGTGCACGCTGAGACTCTCCCCTGCGGCCGCCGCGCGCGCGTGCCCCGCCCCGTAGGCCCACGCCTGGCGCAGCGCCGCCTCGAGCGCCGCCACAGATTGCTCGAGGTAGGTCACGCGCGCGCGGAGCTGCTCGTTCCGCAGCGGCGCCTCGCTCCGCAGCGGCGCCTCGCTCCGCAGCGGCGCCTCGCTCCGCAGCGGCGCCTCGCTCCGCAGCGGCGGCTCGGTCGAGGGGACGTTGCCCGGAGACATCGAGGGGGGAGGCGCGGGCGGGAGAGGCGCGGAGGCGGGGCTGGCGTGGGAGGGGCTGGCGGTAAAGAGGGAGGCGTGGAAGAGGGAGTGGGCCGCCGGGGTGCTCGGCGGAGGCGGGGCGACGGCTCGCTCGGGCGGGATCGATGGCAGCGGAGGGGGCGGAGGGGGCGGAGGGGAGGCAGGTGGGGGAAGCTCCCTCCCCTCCTCCCTCCCCGCCGCACTGCCGCCGCTCTCGCTCGCCTCGCTCCCGAAATCGCAGCTGTCGCCCTCTCCCCGCGGTGCACCCCGGCGGCCCACTCGCTCTTCGACGCCTCGCTCTTTACCGCCAGCCCGTCCCAGGCGAGCCCCGCCTCCGCGCCTCTCGCGCCCGCGGCCACCAAAATTGTA